AAGGTAGCTGTTCTTCCTAGTCTTGTCCAGCTCTAACAGCTTGAGTTTGTTAGGTTGATATGAGAATCCTGGGGAGACCAGGTTTGAGACTGGAGGGTTTCTAGGATCTGGATTCTCTTTTTTTGGGGGGGGAGGGGGATGGCAATCAGAGTTAAGTGACTTGCCCAGGGTCATACAGCTAGTAAATATCTGAAGCTGGATTTGAACTCAGGTCCTCCTGACTCCAGGGCCAGTGCTCCATCTCTGGCACCACCTAGCTGACCCTGGATTCTTAAAATCAATGGGAATTCACATTTATATTTTCAGGACCATGATGGTCAAGCATCACTTTTGCCATTACTGGCACTCAGAAAGGTTGAGTGACTTGCTCAACATCACCTAGCTCCTATGAGGTAGAATTGGGATGAATACTGATCTTCTAAGTACATAGCCAGGCAGTTTACCTCCCTACCTTGGAATGAAGTTCAGTCCAGAACCCACCAAAAACTGGTCTGACCCTGCCAGGGTAAAGGACAGGGTGATAGAACTGAGAATTCAATTGAACAGTCCCTGACCTTCTCTTCCGACCTGCCTTCAGACTGCCATATGCACATCACTGGAGGAGCTAAACCCAACGGGCAACAGTTCGAATGAGTCAGATTCTCAAGAAACAAATCAGTTGGCACTTTATTAAGCCCTTTCTATGTGCCAGACACTGTAGTAAGCACTGGGAATACAAAGAAAAAGCAATGGGAGAGAAAGATGTATAGGAAGTGGCACATACAAGATTAATAACAATAATGACATTTATATAATGCTTACAATGTGCTAGATAGATGCTTTACAATTACTATCTCATTTGATTTTTTTTAATTCAACATGCAAAAACAAGCGCTAAACACAAGCCTCCACAATAGTGTTTTGTTTGAGTTACAACGCTTGATTGGCTGGTTCGGAGAAGGCATTAGCAGTTGTTGAAGCCGAACTATTCTATTCCGTGCAATGAATCACTTCCATAGTGGTTTTGCTGCAGCGGAATTGAGGCCTTTAGACCTTTTGCGAATTCATTTGCGCACAGAGGGTGCTCCCAAACACTGCGTGTTTGCCCTCTATAGCGAAGATGCAGGTTCTCTCCATTTCTTCTCGGTCGGTTAAGTCCAGGCAGTGAGAGTCACTCTGGGTGAATCGGGGCTAACTTCCTCCTCAATTTTGTCTTCTTCTGTAAGGCATTCTTGTCCTTCACGAGCTCAATGAGTGAGTTTGAGGTGTTGTTGCCGGGTATTTTCAAACCCCTGGTTTGTTTGTTTTTCCTCCCGCGTTCCTCGGTCACCGCACAACGGTCACAGAACCCCGCTTCTGACCACCTTCCAAACCTTGAAAGGTGTCACGAGGGGCTTCCCGTGGCTCTCCCAGGGGCTGACTTTTGGTAAGCAATTCTTCCAGTCTGGGCGCATCTAAAGTCCGTTCCTTTTTCAGCCCGGTTCCTTCCCTCTGTACGGCTCGGGCTGCTCTGTCCCGACCCGCCTTCGGCTTTGCCCGGAGATCTCTGAGGCCCCTGCTTCTGCAGACCTCGCAGGACGCCCCTCGGGCGTTCTCGGGTCCCAGGCTCGGCCTGGTGACGTTCTTTCCCCACCGGACTGACCGTCCCATTACGCGGTTAGGAAGTTGTCTCGGTGGACAGTTGGGACGCCCGGGCGCGCGCTCATGGGGGGAGGGAGGGGTGGCCTCTCCCCGCCCGACCGGAAGTGGGGGGAACTCCGGGCAAAGGGGACCGAAAGGCCCCGGGAAACGCGGGGCAGCCGGACTCCACGTAAGGGTCTCTGGGCGCCTGCAGGAGCCAGGAGAGGCGGCGGTGACGCAGGAGAACCCCACCCTCGGCGCTGGAGGGAGGCGTTCGCTCTCTACGCCCCTCTCACTCGGCGTCGGAGCCCAGCCCGCGGAAACTGATAACAATAGTACGGGGGGGTGGAGAAGAGGCGGAGGGAATGACGAGCTGCCTCTCAATTGATTCTTAAAACGACCCTTAAAGCGCCATTATTATACCCATTTGACAGACGAGGAAACTGGGGCAAACAAATTAAGTGACTTGCCCAGGGGTCACACAGCTAGTAAATGTCTGAGGCCCACTTTAAACTCAAATCTTCCAGAGGCAGCTAGGTGGCGCAGTGGATAGAGCACCAGCCCTGGATTCAGGAGGACCTGAGTTCAAATTCGAACTCATTCACCTAACACTAGCTGTGTGACCCTGGGCAAGTCACTTAACCCCACTGCCTAGCCAAAAAACAAAAAACCAAAAACAAGGGGAACACACTAGCATCTGGGGGGAAGAGGAGGAGAGGTGGGCTGGCTAAGACCTGGAGGTGGTGGCATTAAAGGAAACTTAGGGGTTTTCTCTGAGGTTGAGGTTAGAAGGGAAGACATTCCTGTCTCAGGGGACAGCCAGGCCAAAGAAATGGAAGTTGGATCTAGCACTTCATGTGTGAAAAGCAGCAAGCAGAGTAGTATGATTGGACCTTGGAGTGGTGACGTGTTCAAACCAAAACAAAGCAAAATGAAACCAGAAAGACAGAAAGGGGTCAGGTTAAGAGCTTTATAGTTGATCCTGAAGGTAATGGGGAGCCATGGTAGTTTACTGAGGGGGAGGGATAACATAGGAAGACCTATGCTTTAGGGAGATCACTTGGAATGACTCGAGGTGGGGTCCAATTAGAAGGCTATTTATTCCTATCTCTCTTCCCCCCACCTCCTTTAATCTACGAATTGAGGATAACCACACTTTAACTCTCTACTTCACAAGGCACTGGTGAGGAAAGCTTTATAACAATGTTTAGGTGTTATAGAAACCTGGGTTCTTAAGATTATTATAACTGAAATCTGAAACCACTATTTTCTATACTCCTTAGTCTGTAGACAAAGCTCTCTGTCTCCACAACCCATCAGTTCTATTATGGTTAGACAGGCCTGAGTTTCCTTATCTGTTGAATGGGGTGGGTTAGAGCTGGACAAGATGATACCTAAGCTGACTAAAGTTCTAACATGCAAAGACAGTGTTTTGGAAGACTTTATAATAATATAATTTATAATAAGCAACACTATTATAAATTATGTATTGCATTATAAAATAATAATTTATAATATAATAAATCTAAACCATAGCCTGGTATAGTCGAAAGAACACTGGATTTGGAAGCTGAGGATCTGGTCAAGTCCTGGCTCTCCCATATACTATGTGCCTGGCCTTGGGCAGTTCAGTTACACTGTTCTATTTTCCTCATTTGTTAAATGAGGAGAAAGGGTTAGAGTAGATTGGAGATTCCCAAATCATGATCCAGGGATCCCCAGGCCCTTTTCAGAAGGTCTGTGAAGTCAAAACTATTTTGATAATGATATGAAGATATTTATTTTTACTCTGATAGATACAGAGATTTTCCTTTTCAGTCGTGTCCGACTCTTGGTGACCCCATTTGGGGTTCTCTTGGTAGAGATAATGAGGTAGTTTGCATTTTCTTCTTCAGCTCATTTTTACAGATGAGGAAACTAAGGCAAACTGGTTTAAGTGACTTGTCCAGGGTCACACAGCTAGTATGTGTATGAGGCTGGATTTGAACTCACAAAAGAGAGTCTTCTACTTGGACACCTAGCTGCCTCCACCAATAAGAGAGAATCCAGGTAAGTAAAACTATGATTTATAGAATTATCCTTTATACAATTACATATAATTACACATATAATCTTATTGTATATGTAATATACAGTGTCTACTATATTTACACATTTTACATAAACATACACATTTCACACACAATTTATAATTTTGATTGTATATTAAAATATATAACTATATAGACACCTTTAATAATTTATATATAATTGTTATATATGATTCATTTTATATAATTTTGTTATCTATAAATCATGCATATTTATATAAATTTTTGTTTTATCTATTGTACACAGATAACTTATGTAAATTATATCTAATATAGTACGTTACTTATCTATATTTTATATGTAATTCGAACATTTATTGTACTTAATTTACATGTAATTAAAATTATATAATTATAATGAATACAATTTAATAGTTTTTAATAGTGCAAAGGGGTCCTGAGACCAAAAAGTTTGAAACTGTTTCTAAGATTCTTTATAGCTCTAAATCCTAAGGTGGCTAAAATGAGAAGTTTCGACTGGACAATTGATAAAGTCCGTTCTAACTCTACAATCCTAAAATCCTATTAGCATTTGGTAGCTAAGCCGCAACTTGTGTTTTTGTGGGAGATTTAGCAAACTATATTCTTTCTATTCTTCCAAAGCCTCACCTGAAAAATAGAGATCACCAGACTTTAAGAAAACATTTTAAAGGAAAAAAAATCCAAGTGAAATAATAAGTATTCCTTTACAAATACATGAACAAAAAAATAAAGATTTGGTCTAACTTCTCCAGAATTCATTTATGAAATAGCTTAAAGAAAGTGGTATGACATTTAAGGCGCCTTGTTAATTACTAAACTAAAGGGAAAAAAACAAAAACAAAAGCAAACGAAAAATGAAAGCTTGAAAGCGAACGTAGAATCTTCTTGAGGAGACAGGAAGTGCTGTCTGCTTGAAACGGAACACCTGCAAGTCAAAATAACGCATGCGCACTGCAAGGAGCGGGTGAGCACAGGTGAAGAGCAGGGCTGGGCTGACTTCGCGGCTCCCTGCAGGTGTTCTTTCCCTCGTGCCAGCGGGTCCCGGGACTATTCAGTGCCTCCTGCCTTGCGCCTGCGCGATGCGCTGCGAGCGCTTTGCCGCCTTCTCGGGCCCCTCCCTCCACCTTCTTCAAACCTCCCGCCTCCACTTACTAGGGGTGACGGGGGTCGGTCTAATTCCGGTCCGCACATTCCGCACCGACCCCTAGCCTGGAGGCCGGCTGCCTCCGGAAACACGGAACCCCGCCCCGCCCCACCCCGAGTCACCGGGCGACGTGAGCGACTGCGAGAGAGGCGCGTCGCGGCACCTCGGGGGCGGGGCCGAAGTCCGTCCAGCGTCTCCCCCACCCGCCGCCCCCTGTCGAATCTGCGGCGGCCGTTGGGCCGTTAGCGCAGTTTGGGCGGTTGTCTTGGAGAAGCAAAATGGCTGCTGCGACGGCGGCCGCAGCCGCTGCGGTGGTGGCGGCGGCGGCGGAGGAGGACACGGAGCTGAGAGACCTGCTGGTGCAGACGCTGGAGAACAGCGGAGTCCTCAATAGGATTAAGGTAAGGCGGCCGAGGCGACGCTGGCCCCGCGCGGCCTCGCTGGGGCCTCAGCGCCCGAGTTAGCGCGGCCCCCCCGAGCCGGAGCTCAGCTCCCGGGATCCCTGGGCGGCTGGGGCCCAGTGGAGGAGGGAACCACGGGCCGGGGCCGCCATCGAGCCGGGAGGGAGCCGTGGGCGGCGAGTGGGGCTGCGGTCACCGGGTGTCGGGGCCTGAGCTCATAATGGAGGCTCTTCCACCCTCCCCCTTGGTCTTTAGTCCTCGCTCGCTGCCGCTGCGGACTCTCCCCCTTTCCCGCCCCTTTCCTCGCTTTAGGGAGAAGTTGGGGCCGGGGGTCATCCTTAGTTAGAAGGCCGGATTCAGCCTCGCTTCCTCCACTCCCCGTGGGGCGCCTGGGGGGGAGGGGCGGCTTGGGAAGGTTGGGTTCAGCAGGTGATTCCACTCTCCCGGATGGGAGATCTGTGAGTCTTAGAAGCTCTAGGGCCCACGCCTCCTAGAGCTTTCTTTTTTCCAGTCGTTTTAAACCTGATCATTTTGAGCTCCAGTAGACTGGGAGGTAGTGGGGGAATGGCACACTCACCCTCCTCCAAAGGAAGATAACTTTGACCCAATCGTTGTAAAGTTTATAGGAAATGCTTAATAAATACAGGTGATAATAGCATCCTGGAGTTTGTAATTGGAAGGAACCTGAGAAGTCATCTGTGTAGTTTAAAAAAAAGAAAAGAACGGAAACAGCTTTTCATTTGTTGTCCAGTTGGATGGGCTCACCATTAGATCAGTGGGTACCGCGTGAATATCACCTGCAATAGCAACAGTTGATACCTAAATGCCTGAACTTGGCTGTGGCTATAGTCGGTTCAGAAAGCATTGGTGGTCATCCAGCGTTTGTGTCCCTTTACGGTTGTCAAAAACAAACTTGTGACGGAGCTGGCTCTACTAATAATAGCAAAACAGCATTTACTCCACCCTTTCTGTATATATAGTGAAGGTTTCACTATAGAGTGTTACATCTGGAACAGATCTTATAGTCCAGCCCCATTTTTCAATTTGTAGTTGGGTCCTAAACTGGTTAATGTGACTTGAACAAGCTTATGCAGCTACTTTAGTGGCAGAGCTGGGACAAGGTCCCAGGTTGTTTTATTAATTTTTGCCGTGGTGTTGTGAAGACAAATTTCCATCTTGTTATTTGCACTTCCCCCTTGAACATTCATGCTTTCAAATTTTGGGAGAACAGTTCCCAGTAAATTGGTACCTATAGCATAGATATTTTAAAAAACCTGGTATTTTTAAAAAATTCTGATTGAGCAGTATGTCAACATCTTAAATTGTCAGTAAAAAATTTTTTTGAATGCTTCCTTCCCTTTTTTAAAAAATATTCTAGGCTGAACTACGGGCAGCTGTATTTTTAGCACTTGAAGAACAAGAAAAAATAGAGGTATGCAAATAGAGTTATTTAATCTTAAAGATTAAATATTTTTAATATTCAACTCACATTGTTTAGGGAAAACGCATGTGTTTTGCTTTTTGTTTTTAATTTTTTCTCTTGTTTATCCTGGGATGTAGCCAAAGTAGTTTTTGAAGACTTAATCAGTAAATGTATATTATAGGGGGAAAAAACTAACATTCTTTTTGAGGGGTATTTCAGTACTTTGGGGTCAACAAGGTAAAAGCATTTAGGTTCGATAACACTGGTTCTAGAGTCAGAAAGATCCGAATTCAAATTCTTCAGATCAAAGACACTGTAAAATGGGGATGACAGCACCTAGCTCTCAGTATGCACTTATTGCAGTGCCAGCAGAAAGAGACAGGGAGAAATGAGAAGTAAAGATTTTCATTTAATCTTATATTTGATTTAAGTGTAAGTTGATCTCTGTATAAAGAATCTGAAAGCATGTCTGAGCCCTGATGTCCCTATGCCTTTGCACAAGCTATTCCCCCTGCCCGGCATGTAGTTACTCCTTACCTCCACCTAAAACGGTTTTGCCAAATAGTAGGCAATTTAATTAATGGCCTGTTGGTGGTTTAAGTGAAGCCACATGGTCACAGTAATATTTCTTGAACTTTTCTGTCAAATATAAATAATGATATTGCCTAGAATCAATTTTTTAAAAAAATGGATTCCAAATCTATTCCTAAAGCAAAAGTTACTTCTGCAGAAAATATATGGTAATGTGTGTTTTTTCCTGTTCTGCTACCTTCATGCAATCATTCAGTATTTGTTGTATTCTTTAGGACCAATGACTATTTAAAAAAAATATTGCTTTAAATCATGGGGTCTTAATCTTTTTTTTCTGTCATGAAACCCTTTGGTAGTCTGGTGAAGCCTGTGAACCCCTTTGGATCCCTTCTTAGAATAATTTTTTAATGCACAAAATAAAATACATGGAATTACAAAGGAAATCAGTTTTATTGAGATACAGCTATCAAAATATTTTTTAAAAGGTCACAGACTCCAGGTTGAGTGCTGCTTTAAATGATATAATTGTTAAAGCTAAAACTTTTTTTTAATAGACTAGAATTTAGAATAGAAAATAATATGTTCTATTAAGTCTTCTCAGAATAGTGAACTTTAAGGTTGGATAACTAGCTCAGAAGTCTTAAGTTTCTGAGAGAGTATTTGAAAAACAGGATTGTACGAAGACTACATTTATAATAAAGTAAATTTGCTAATTTAGTTTCAAGTAAAATCATGAAACATCCCCACATCCTTACTTTCAAACACCTAATTGTTTTATATGAATTTATAATTAATTTTTGCTTTAAAAAACAAAACATAGCTTTATGAAAGTCTGTAAATTAATGATTCAGAGAGACTTTTGATGGATAGGATGCAGTTTTGAGGGCTAATAATAGAATTCTTCTGTTGATAAAGTTTAAAGTATAATGTTAAAAATATCAGTGTGCTACTTTGTGACCATAACATGGAAGTAAAATTTTACAGGTTTTGAAATAGAAAAGTTTTTGGGACTGATATACTAATTTTAAATTTTTACAGTTGTTTTCTTTTTTAATAGAACAAAACACCTTTAGTGAATGAAAGCCTGAAAAAGTTTTTAAATACTAAAGATGGTAAGCATCTTTTTATCTACTTAGTTTGCTTAAACTAAATCTTCAGAACGAAACTTGAGAGAAATCAAGAATTTCATTTGATATTGTAGCATAAAATTATTTTCTTTCCTTCTTTTCTTTAAAGATAAAGTAAGAACTCCATTATATAATCAAACCTCTACTAATAATGGAGTATTGTAGACAGTATCATCTAGATTGGCTCTAGCCATACTTCCTGGGCCAAGGAAACTTGCCAGAGAAATAGTTCTTCCAACATCAGGATGGAAAATCCTGTGTGGGTAATTAATTAAGAGTTAATTGTAGTTTCTTAGTGACTCAATGACTTGTTCTTGAAGAGAGTATCTTCTGTTTTTCCCATTTTACTTTTAAGTATATTAGAGGGAAATCTTTTCAGAATTTTTCCTATAAACTTTGATTTAAAAAATTTAGAAACTTTACTTTTCTTTAGTATGGTACCATTTCACAAAATACACAAAGTTTTGCAAAATACTAAACATTTGAGTTAACAAGTCTTTTTCCACTTACTTTTGCAGGTCGTTTAGTGGCAAGTCTTGTTGCAGAATTCCTTCAGTTTTTCAATCTTGACTTCACCTTGGCCGTCTTTCAGCCTGAAACTAGCACAGTAAGAATGTGAACTTGACCATCTCATCTTGTGTCTTTTTTGTGATTTAGAATATGAAGTTAACTAAATATAGTTAAATGCTGCTTATATGTGTATTTATCCTCATCTTAAATTATTTATGCAACTGAAGACGCAATCTGAATGGCCTTGTTTCCAAGATGATTGTGTCACTGCTTCCCGGAAGTCAGCAACTGGCCAGATCATCTAGGAGCCAACAGAGTGGACTGCCAAGAAAAAATGGCCCTATTCCTTCCTATTGTGGCTACAAGAAATAAACTGATGCCCTAAGCTGGATGCCCTCAACTTTTTTTGTGAAGAGAAACTGTTTTGTTTTATTGTGGTCATTATATGAGGGTCTCCTTTTGTAGATGAGTGCTTCATTTTTACGTATTTAAAGACTTTTGGACTTTGGATCTGCTGTTTGATTTTTGGCTGTATTTTAATCTCACCAGATTATAGACACAAACATTTATCTTTATATTGCCTTTGAATATTTGAGTACCCCATAATTAAAATATAGATTTCTTAAGGGAACTTTTAGCTCCAAGAAAATTCAGCTTGTCTTGGAAGTTAGGGTAGTTAGTTTAACAATTTAATTGCCTGGCACAGGGAATAATAAATCTTAAAGCTAATTTCCGTAGTGCAGTCTCAAAGAGAAGGCACATAATGTGCTCTACCTTGCCCCTCAACTCCCTGAGAATGTAAGTTTCATGAGAGCACCGATCATTTCTTTATTACTTTGCACATATTAGGCAATAAATGGTACATAAGGCAAGCAAGATAGCTTGGGGCTAGATTGCAGAGGTCATGAAGTCCTTCGTGAAAGACATTTTAGTTGAGTAGTATGCAAAGAATGAATTAAAAAACACTTATTAAGCATCTACTATATGTTGGTACTGTGCTAAGTGAGACAGTCCCTATCCTTATATTCTAATAGGGAGAGACAATGCCTGTGGGGGAATGATAGCCAAGGAGGAGAGATTTTATCTGAGACAGTCACAGAAGTGGTGAGTTGATCTACAAGATAGTCAGTTAACATCCTTTCCAGAAGTAGTAGTATTGAGTTGATAACTGATAAAATTGATAGTTGATAAAACGAGAGGTAGAAAGTGATCAGGGTAGCGGCACATATGCCAGTATGGTTTGTGAAGATTTTGAGGGAAAGCCAAGTCAGTAGTATAGTAAATGACAAGATGCCTGGGTATGTGGTCAAGGGATATGAAACATGGTCTCAGATGGGGCTAGCTAGATTTGGTGGAGTAGGTAGGTTTGCGCTTACCAATCACAGGAACTCTTCATAGACAGTATGGAAAGAAATCGGTGTCAAGCATTGAGCAGGTATGGAGAGGAAATGGAAGCACTGAATAGAAAATATCTTTTTAGAAGCTACACAGTAAGCTAGGGTTGGCAAGTGGAGAGGATGGTAGAATGAGGCGGAAAAAGGGCTTGGGAAGAAGTCTGAGTGGAAGAATGGAAGGCAATCACCAGAGGTTTCAGAGCATCTGGATCTTGTGTAGGGGTCAAAATGGAGGCATTGGAGATAAAGACTTTACTTTCAAGCAAGACAAGCTGTCAACTGCTTTCCAGAGTATTCTTCAATGTTAGTTAATAAAATAGTTGATCGTGATTTTTTTTAAGTGGGAGTAAGCTTTCACAAGTAAGAAAAGCAAAGGTAGGATAAAATTAAAAGGGAAGGGGGCAAGCATTTATTGGGTGCTTGCTATGCCCTAGGTACTGTGCTCAGTTATTGTTTAATTTGGTCCTCACAACAATTCTGTGAGGTAGGTGCTATTAGAACCCCCATTTTACTGTTGAGAAAACTGAGGCAGGCAAAGAAAGTGGCTTGCCCAGGATCACACAGCTTACCAAGTATCTGTGGCTGGATTTGAATTCTTGTCTTTCAGACTCCAGGGCTAGTGGTCTATCTGCTGTGCCATCTAACTGCCTCTATATAGTAATAAAGTATCTTCTCAGAGTCCTGCTGGAATGCCCAGAGGGGGAAAAATAATTTGGAGTACATTGAAATTCCAGGTCAGGCAAACACAAGAGGGGGCAGCTTGTGGCAGAGAAGAGAGAACCCTGAGAAGAACTTCCAGAGAGGAGGATGGAAAGCTTTGGGTTAAGCATCAAAGGAAGAGTTTGCAGAAGATTAGGATGACCAGGCCAGCTGTATTTGGATCCTGTACCTTTCACTGAGTGCTTTTACAGCACATAAAGTGATACTGAAATTTATGTTGTTTTTGGTTTGTGTGTGCATTTATTGTTTTGGTTAGAAGTAGGAGGGCTTGTTGATTTTGTGTGTCATAAACAAAATTTCCTTTAACTCCAATTTTATTAGCTGTCAGCCATCATGAAATCATTAATAGAAAACTAGTGTATAGGCATGTGACGTTACCAAATGCATGAAAACTTGTAGCTGTTGGCTTTTATGTAATAACCGAAGGCAGAAAAAGAAGTTGAATTTTTCTTGCTTTGTTTGCTTTTGTGTTTTCTCTAAATTGTGTTTTTACTGGGGCTAGTTCTGCTGCCGCAAATAGAGCGTAGAGCAGGGTAGATGTCCACAGGTCTATTTCCAGCCTAATTTCAGCAAGTACTAAGAGTTGAGACATTACATGCAGTTACAGAAACATAGCATATTAAGCAATAGGTTTTGTTATTTAAATTAGGACCTGTTGAAACTAAAATACATATAATTACAAAGGCCAGTTAATGGTAGCATATGACCTAAAATACCAAAAGAAATTTACTTCCTGGTGGCTTTCAGATTTTAGACTAGACTGGAGCAATTGAGGGGTTTTTTGTTTGTTTTTAAGGGAGAATAATAAAAATAGGAAAAATATGTTTCATTATTTTCCTAATTGTCACTTGGTTGATTTTTTTTTTTTCTCGTGGTCCTCAGTACTCTTAACTTTAAAGATCTTTTATTTCACTGGTGTGGGTTGTCAGTCGGCTGAAGGGAGATGTCAACTTCTCTATGCCTTAGTAGACTTAGGTCTTTATGATTCTATTAGGAAAAAGTATCATCTGACTGTTAAATTTTTGGTGATCAGTATCTTTAAACTTCTCTAGACTAGTCTTATTATTATTAATATAGACTGTTTCTGGATCTTTATTTGAAACCTTTTCACCTTGATAGGATATATCAGAGCTTGTATTCTGTTGGCATTGCCTTCAAGAATCCAGGTTTGCCTACTTGCCATTGCTGTGTTATTAGAAGAAGTAGCCATCCATGTTATAGGATTCCTCTCTATTTGGTAATAGATTAATTTGTTAATAATAAAGCCATAGGGCTGAAAGACTTTGAAGTGACTGTCTTCAAAAAGATTCACTCAGTAAATTGTTATATTCTGTTTGATCATTTTTATATACTCCTGTTTCAGTTAACAATATCGGCTCTTTAACTGGTTCCTTTAGTTTTTATTTTATTTTAGTTTTTGATCTTAGGTTCTAACCTTTGTCTTCATTTCCTTGAACCCTTTCCAAATTAGCTATGTCTCCATAAGTTAAAAATCAAGACTAGTTAACATTTATTAGATTTGCTGTGAGATGGTGTGGTGCCACTGCATGTGACTTGGAGTTAGTTATCTTACTTCATTAGGCTTTTAATTCTTCATTTGTAAAATGAAAAGGTTCATCTTCATCTAGCTTGGAAGTTCTTAACTTTTCTGGGGTCATGGATCCTTTTGGCAGTCTGGAAAGCCTATGGACCCTTTCTTAGAATAATGTTTGCTGTCTACATTCATAATTGAAGGAAATGCTAAGTTTCAGAGGTTAGTGAAAATAATTTTTTTCCCATCTAGCTTCACAAATCCTTTGAAATTAGGGATTTGTGAACTCCAGGTTAAGAATACCATATGCTCTTAAAATTTGCTTTCAATTCGTACCATTCTTTTTTACAGGATGGCTTCATGGTTCCTGCATTGTATGCTATATTGATACTAAATCATATTATAACACTTGATTGCAAAATGTTATTTGATATAAGCTGGTTCTTGAGCCAACTTGCCCATACCTAGGGATTTATCTACTAGAATAGCAAAAAAAATTCCTTCTGGTGAGATACTGTTATAAGATAGGCCTCATCAATGAATAGCGTGTAAGAAACTCTTTTTTATGTAGCCTTTGTGCACTTTTATGCATCATTTCTTTCATTTCCTCAGAGAGGCATTGTGGCATGGTGAATATTTAGAGCTAGCCTTACACTTGGGAAGAACTAGGTTCGCATTTGGTCTCTGTCACATACCAACTGATTGACAGGAGGGCTCACTTAACATTTCAGTGCCTAAGTGAGATTAAGTTTATAGATAAGTTGCTGATTTTCATTGATGAAGGATATTTTTATAGTGGGAGTTGCCCATACCAGTGGCAAAACAGATTTGGAATAAAAAACAGAAAACAGTGGGTATTACGAATAAACTGAAATAATTGGAAAGTTGTTATTATAAAAGTGAAATTAATCATCTACAAACTTAATACTAACTGCTGAAATATCAAGAGTTGCCTGTCAACTGTGGCAGGTAAAAGATAAAATGGCTGAAGAAACAGGTTCAGTATTCCAAGCATATGGATTTATTAGCAATGCATGCCAATTGCCTAACAAATTGGGACCAAGCACCTTCCTCAATTTAGAGCTGGATCCTGAATACAGGGGGAGCAGACCTTTATATATTAAAAACAATTTATCAAATAAGGCCAGTCAATTAAAAGGAAATGATGCAACTTTAGGTAATCTGATTTCTAATTGGAGGAAAGATTAGGGACTTTCCAGGTCAGAAGAGGGAGAGTTATAGGTGCAATTCCCTGAATTCAGAAAAGGTGTCCTACTCCTGTCAAGTATATAAACGAAGAAACACTGAAACAATAATTGATCAGTATGAGGGTCAGTTTTCAGATAAGACATATGGATTGCTTGAGATGTATGATTGTAAGAAAACTCCTTGCATCAATCTTAGGGTCTGACTGGGTTTTTTTTGGTCAGTATGACCTAGGTCCTTAGTTAAAGGTCTCTAAAGTATCAGGGAGAGATGGTCCAGCTTCCCAGCCATGCAGGGCTAGGTTCAAACAGTACAATAAAGTTTTCTCCCAATTCTCACAGTTGAATAAAGTTTCCTTATAGGACAGAAATCGGACTAGAATAATTGAATAGAAACCATAATTGAATAGAAACTAAGCTAGCTCCAGAATTGAGTCACAAGATGGAGTCAGTGTGGTTCACTCAATCCGCACGGTTAACCATTTGCTGTCCTAATCCCTTCAGTTACCTCAAAACCCACAGGCTAGGTTAGGTTAAGGCACTTATTTTGTTTTTTTACCATATATACTGAAAGGACATTTAAAAAAATTATTAGCAGTTCATTAGTATTTACATTTATGTAAAATGTGCCAAACTAAACCATTAGAGACTTTTTTGGTAACATTTTAAATCTAAGTGAAATTTCTGTTATTAACTAGGCTGTAGTACAAGAGTCTGAAAGTAGGTGATTTAAGTCTTCTTTTTAAGTAGTGATATCATATATTTGCATTATTTACAAATCACTTTGACATATAGGAGCTGATCTAATTTTTTTTTCTCAGTGCCGTGCAATTTAGAGTAGGTGATAATATAAATGAGCAAATTGAGCTTAAGAGAGTAAATGCTTTCTTCAAGATTGTGTAACTAGTAATTGGCAAAGCTAGATTACGTGATACATTGCTTTTAGTAAACTAGACTTTTTGTCAAAACAATAAATTCATAATCTGAATATCATTGTCTTCTGTACAAAGAAGAGAAGCTGAATAGGTGTTGAATGGTTCTGTTTCTTCCAGCTAACTAGTTTGATTTTCTCTTGGTGGTGTCACTGGGAATTTCACCAAGCTGAGCCTTGTTCTTGGGCTTCAATATTCCTGATACAGTTATTACAGAACCATGCAATTCTTTTGTATTTGTCATCTGTACTTACTGCCAAGTTCTGCGTGTATTATTTTAAAAGTAAATTTATTTTTATATACATTTTTAATATGCTCCTCCATCTCTTCTTCCTCCCTTCTCCCTTTTACTTCCTCCCAACCTCATTTTAAAAAAACAAAATAAAACAGACCCTTCATCCTAAAAATGCGTAGTCTAGGAAAACAAATTCCCACATTGGCCTGCATCTCTCTCTGCATTTTAAGTTGACCTTCTATCTCTCTGGTAGGAAGTTAGAAGTATGATTCATCTTCAGTCTTCTGGTCTCATGATTTGTTTGTTTGTTTTTTTGTGAGGCAGTTGGAGTTCAGTGACTTGCCCAGAGTCAGACAGCTAGTGAGTGTTATATATCTGAGGCCAGATTTGAACTAAGGTTCTCCTGACTCCAGGGCCGGTGCTTTATCCACTGCACCACCTAGCTGCCTCATCTGATCTTACGGTTAACCATTATGTCAATCGGAGTTCTAAGTTATTTTTCTCGATAATGTTGTTATTATATAAATCGTTCTCCTACTTCTGCTCACTTCTTTCTGTATCAATTCATAGAGGTCTTCCCAGTTTCCTATGATACTCCATTTTGTCATTTCTTATGGTACAATAATATTCCATTATATTCAAATATCATAATTTGTTTAGCCATTCCTAAAAAAGAGGATAGCCCCTTAGTTCTAATTTTTGACTATTATTAAAAGAGCTGCTATGAATATTTTTGTACATATAGATCCTTTTAAAAAAAATCACTTTGGCATATTGGCTAGATGGTACAGTTGGGTCAAAAGATATGTACAGTTTGGTAACTTTTGAGGCAGAATTCCAAATTGCTTTCTAGAATGGCTGGACCAAATCACAGCTTTGATGAAGTTTTTCAAAAGAATAATGGTGAGTAGTTCTCATAGCTTCACCATTCTTTAGATACCTTCCCCATTTCTTTTCTTTTTTTCCCGTGTGTGTGTGTGCGTGTGTGTGTGTGTGTGTGTGTGTGTGTGTGTGTGTGTGTGTGTGTATGTATGTATGTATGTATGTGTAATCTCGGTTAAGTGACTTGCCCAGGGTCACACAGCTAGTATGTGTCTGAAGTCATATTTGAACTTGGATCCTCTTGACTCCAGGGCTGGAGCTCTGTGCTGCATCACTTAGCTGCACACCCTTCCCCATTTCTTACTGAAATCATTTGTGATTACATCAAAATTTTTTTTGCTTTAGAGCTTACTAGTTCAAGTTAAGGAGAATGTAATTTATTCTCATTTTTAATCTTTCTATCTATGGTACGTTGCCCATAGTAGGTGCTTTGTATTTATATTTTATGGAATTGATTTTTATGGAGTATATTTGTGAAATTGATCCCTCTTTTAGGGTCAGAGAATCCTACCTTTCTCATCTTTCCTAATATTTGTGGTAATTGTCATATTATGTGTGGCATTCTTTTACCTTATCTCTTTAATTCTTAATATCACATGGATACTTTTTTTCCAGTTTTTCTCCATTTTAGCTTCTCTAGAGAGATGACCCTGGCTATCCTCCATGCATGAATTCTCTTACCTCTGCTTCCTAACTTCTTTGGCTTCCTTCAAATTATAAATCCCAACTTCTATAGGAAGTTTTTATTGATTGCCGTTTAATTCTAGTACCTTCCTTCTGTTGATTATCTCCAGTTTACCCTGTATGTAGCTTATTATAGATAGTTGTCTGCCTGTTGTCTCCCCCATTAAATTGTGAGCTCCTTGAGAGCAAGGTCTGTCTTTGCCTTTGTGTCTCCTGTGCTTAGCACAGTGCCTGGCGCATATTGGGTGCTTAACAAATACTTACTAATTGTAGCATAGAATGTTCAGCACTTAAAGGGACTTTAAAGTTTGTCTAGTTCTCTCTTTTCACAGATACAAAACAGAAGCCCCACAGTTGAAGTGACTTGTGTCCATAGTTACATAGCAAGTGGCGGGACCATAATACGAACCTATAATTTTTAACTCAAATTCCAGAGTTCTCTCTGCTATGTCACATTACCTACCTCATACCAATGTTTACAGTATCACAATAGTCTTTATGTGATTTTGAGATATTTTTTAAGTTATAGCATGGAGACTTTTGGGACACTTTGTATTTAGCATGTACATGCACATGCCATGTATGTGTATCTTTGTCATGTGTGAGTCATGATAAAAACTCATGTTACTTCAAGGTTTACAAAAATGCTTTTCTGAACAGTTCTGAGAAGAAAGTAGTATATTATCCTTTTTTTTATGTGGATAAGAAAATTGAGGCTCGGAGATTTTTAAGAACAGTTTTGAAATTGTCACCTCTTAAGATATACATGGTACATTTATGGGGCAAATCCTTAATGGTTAACTAGACTTTCTGTTACCCAGTTGTCAGTATTCTAATTTAGAGAAAAAGCCACTTTCAAAAAAACACCTTCTGAAAACTGTCAAGAAAAATTGAGTCGAAAGTCTTAATCTGGATAAATTGTTGTGAATTATCCTTCTTTCCAATTTAGGTTGTCTGGTGGATAACTGGCAGTTGAATAGGTTGCTGTCAAATGAGTTCTATGTACTATTTAGTTTTTGTCTTGCTTGATGATTTAAACGACAGTTTGTTAAATAACATGTATAACATTTTAAGTATACACAACATTATATGCCAGAAAGAGAATTTCATTTTATTGTTAAGCCAAACTGTTCTTTTTTGTTTCTTTTTCCTTTATGGTACAAGTATTATTTTTACTACATTTTAGTGCATTTTAATATTTTTTTCCCCCAGGTTCATGGGCTTGAAGCTCGAGAGAATTTAGCCCGAGATTTAGGAATTATTGAAGCAGAAGGCACTGTTGGTGGACCATTACTGTTAGAGGTAATCAGACGATGTCAACAGAAAGAAAAAGGTTCACTTAGTGGGGAGGTAAGTATGCTTTTTATTTTTGGCATTTTTTTTTGTGGCAGAAATGTGCTATTGAATTTCTCAGCTTCTACCTTAATTATAAGTTAAGTCAAGCATGTGAGTTAACATAGGCTCCTAGGACCAGAGTTTGAAAGAATTAGAAAATATATTGACAGTACCCATGGCTCTGAGAAGATAAAGGAGTGAGATGTTCCTAGGAATCCATCTCTTCATTATTCCCTCGAAAACAGCAATAAAGATATAAAAAAGAAGCAAACACTATCAGAAATTCTCAAAAGAAATTTAAAAAAAAATAAAAATCATGAAGAAAAAAAGAATAGATTCAACACAGTGAAAAGGTGTTCTGTCCTAAAAGAAGCTGAGGTGCAAAAACACCTCTCAAAATGGATGGCGATGATAACCAATGGTAACATCGAAAAAAAGCTATAATTTTTTAAAACCAGAATTCAAGAAACACAGTTCAGTGAATTAAAGGAAGTTATGAAATTGATATTAGTTGAAGAAAATAGGTTTGTTTTGCTTGTATTTGTGCAAGTATTTGAAAGGCTTTGATGTCGAGGAGGGGTTATTCTGTTTGGCCTTAGAAGGTAGGACCAGGAATGATGCACAGAAATTGCCAAGAGACCAATTTAGGCTTGATGTCAAGGGAGTATCTTTGTGTGATAGTTAGAGTTGTTCAGAAGTGGAAAGTCATTTCTCCCATAGGTGGAAGATTCTCTCTCCTTAGAGGTATTTTACACAGATGCTGGATGACAACTTGTTGGATATGTTGTAATGGGAATTCCTTCTTGTATGGGTTAGACTAGATGGCCACTGAGGGTCCTTTCCACCTGTCAGATTCTGTGATTCTGTAACAGAAATATTATGTGAAAAATTAAAGAAGGAACTGATTGTGACTTAAAGAATTTTAGGACAAGATGATAGTGAAATACAGCCATTTGGAAATCTGTGGAAAGTGTAAACAAAATATATTTGATGGAGACAACTATTTTATTTGGACACAGAATATAGCAAACAACATAAGCTAAAAAACTCCACCTTCCCGCTTCCCACCCTTACCCCCCTGCCAAAAAAAGTAATCAGTGTGTACAGTAGTGATAAATAGGACAGACTGAGCAAGGAGAGGAAAAAATTTCAAAATTATTAATTTCCCTTAAAACTCAAAACCATTACATTTCAGTAAGTCACACATAAAAATTTTTCTAGAAAGCTTGAAAATAAGAAATATGGTATCCTTATCTCTCAAAGTTGTTGTGAGGCTTAAATGAGAACGTTGTATCAACAAGCATTTTTATTAAGCACTCTCTCAATACTAGTGATGTATAATAAGTCTAGAAAGGTGTAAATTGGAACCAGATCATGAAGGCCTTTAAATGTATGTAAAAATGTTTCTTAAGAGCTTTATAAACTTCAGAATACTATATAAATATGAAGTATTGTCTTGGTCATCATCATCATCATTATCATATTCTTTAATAATTGGTAGAATTTTGGGGGAATGACAGAGGTAGACTCTAACAATTCCTCAGACATCTTTTGCCAGGCGTCATAAGTTCATATCTTCCTGTCTTTCTACTCATATAGCTACCATCTTGGTGCAGGCTTTCATCAGGTTGTACTTAGCATATAATAGACTTTTAATTGGTCTCCCTGCATTAAGTCTGAGAGAGGTTATAAAGGAAGAAATGACAAGATTTGTCAACAATTGGCTATATGGAATATATCAGAGTGAAAAATTGAGGATGATACTGATGTTATGAGCCCTAGTAATTAGGAGGATGATAATGTCTTCAACAGTGATAGGGATTCTGTTCTAAACAGGGGAGGATATTAGGGGAAAGATAATGAGTTTATTAAACTTAAGATGTTTATGGGTTTTCCAATTTGGGATGCCCAGGAAGAAGTTGGTGACTCAAGCCTAGAACTCCATCTCAGAAGAGATCACCAAACAAGACAATATAGAAGAAAAGAGGTTCCAGGACACAACCTTGGGGAAATATTATTATCATGTTTTTTTCTTTCTCATTTTCTTTATCAGTGATGCCCCAAATCAATTTATTCTTCCATAGTCCTTCAAGTCTCTCATTCAGCATTTAACCAAAATAATATTCCTGTTATTGTTAATGCCACAGTAGTATCTGTCTCGTCTCTGCTGTTTCATTGGCAGTCCCCTGTTCCTGGGATGCCCTTTATCTTCACCTCTGCTTCCTGGCTTTCTTCAAGATACAACTCAGATCCCACCTCCTGCAAGAAGTCTTGCAATCTGCTAATACCTTCCCTTCTTTGAATTTACTGTGTGTGTGTGTGTGTGTGTGTGTGTACGTACACACACTAATGCAAATAGATACCTCTATAGTAATGCTTGATAGGGTGGTTGTAAGGAACAAATGAAATGATATTTGCGTTATAGTGCCTGGCGCAGATTAGATGCTTAATAAATGCTTGTTCCCTTTCCCATCTATATATGTTATATGTAAATTTTTTTCCATATTGTCTCCCCCATTTGAATGTAACCTCTTTGGGGGCACGGAATGCATTTATTTGCTATATACTAAGTGTTTAATAAAAGCTTGTTTTACTGACTTACTGATGATAGAGAGTCAAAGGGAGCAATTGCAGAGTAAAACTCAGGAAAAAATGAGGGAAGTTTTGTTTTGTTTTTGGTTTAAAAAAATTCAAGATTTAGTATGTAAAATATAAAAACTTTGTTGAGAGCAGGGGTTCTTAACCTGGAGTACCCAGATTCCAATGTGAGGTATGGTCTGTGGTTCAATGACCTATTGACAATGAGAGATTATCAGTATTAAACATCTTTCATTTAGTGATGTCAGTGTGAAAATAACTGTCTGTTATGAATCAGATCTATTTGGGTCACATTTTATTAGATTTTATGTAATTTTAAGGAGAATTATCAGATTGGCATGGTATCTTTATACCTTTTTTTCACCCTTTTTAAAAAAAAATTAATTTATTTACTTTTAGTTTTCAGCGTTCACTTCCATAAGATTTTGAGTGTTAAATTTTCTCCCTCTCCCACCTCTTCCCGCCCCGCCCAAGATGACATGCAAACTAGTATAGGCTTTACATACACGTTCATGTTAAGCATATTTTCCCATTAGTCGTGATGTAAAAAAAAATTCGAACTAATGGGAGGAACCACAAGAAGCAATAAAACAAAACAACAAATGAAAAGGAGAGCAAATAGCATGCTTTCATCTGTGTTCAGACTCCGTATTTCTTTCTCTGGGTGTGGATAGCAATTTCCATTATGAGTCTTTTGGAGTTGTCTTAGATTGTTGAATTACTGTGAAGAACCAAGTCTATCAAAATCAGTCATCCCATAATGTGACTGTTACTGTGTATAGTGTTCTCCTGGTTCTGCTCATTTCACTCTGTATCAGTTCATGTAAGTCTTTCCAAGTTTTTTTGAAGTCTGCCTGCTTATCATTTCTTATAGTTATAGCACAATAGTACTCCATTACATTCATATACTACAACTTGTTTAGCCATTCCCCACTTGATGGGCATCCCCTCAATTGCCAATTCTTTGTCACCACTGAAAGAGCTGCTATAAATATTTTTGTACATGTGGGTCCTTTTCATGTTTTTATGATCTTTTTGGGATACAGACCTAGAAGTGGTATTGCTGGGTCAAAGGATCTTTATACATTTCTAAGAACTCTGAATAACAGACTTGATCAAGTAGCATTTATACATTGTACATTCTCAAGTAACTTTAATAGGTATTTCTGGTTTTACTTCTACATGTAAAATGTTACAAATCAGCATCGAATCATTTATCTCAGTGAAGCCAAATCAAAGACCATTTTTGTAGGTTATGAAGACAGGACATAGGATATAAATTCAAGTACCCTGTACTTATATGTGAGAGTTTAAGAGTTAAAAATTTGTGTCTTTAGTTTCTTTTTATGTTTTCAGAGGAAACATCTTTTGGTTTCTGTTTAATCGTCTTTGCCTCCCCCTTTACTAGCACAAACTTTAATGGAAATTGTCTTCAACTTCTGGTCCTAATTTCTTAGCTTCTACAATGGCATAACAATTTATAAAGTAAAGTTTAAGAGTTGCAAAAATAATTAGATCGGTCCATAATAATTAAGTTTCAGTATCCCAATAATGAAATGCTGTAACTCAGGCAAAAATATAAGTAAGTTGCATACTCGAATAGCATGCTGATTGAATTATTATTTGATAGCTTATATACAGGGAAATAAATGGATACGGTAGGGAATTTACTCCCCCCCCCAATATAGTGCTGGAAAGTAGGTTCTGTTATGATATGGTTTTATAGATGAGGAAACTTCTTAGAAGCAGATAGATTAAGTGATGTACTTAAGATCATAGAGACAGTAAGTACGTTAGGTTGAATTTTGAGCTCAGAACTTCCTCATTCCTTTTGCCACTTAGCTGTCCATATACATAATTATATTTTTATTGCATTATGACTCACACACATGTAAACAAGCATATATACATGAATTATATGCATGAACCATTCACCAAAATTCATTATGTTCTAGCACATGAAGAAATAGATAAATTTAGAGGTGGAAATTTCAGTACATTTAGGAATCATAATTTAATAAAATTATGATAAAAAGAGATGTGAATGATTGTGCAAACATTTGAAATAAAATATCTGGCAAAGAGGATATAACAATGTTTTCCCCAAATTATTCCTTATAACCAGTAGGATTTATATAAGAAATGTTAAGTTAGTTCAGCTTTGGGAAACAGCATAATATATCTTATAGATAAGAAAAATGGGATAGGGCTCACATGGACATTCCCAATAAATTCCAAATAGATGGATGATATATATATTTTAAAATAATTTTTTTAAATGGAAGAAAATGGAGTAATTATAACACAGGGAAGAAAACTTTCATCCAAGAATTATGATTATAAGAAGCAAGATATATTGATTTAATTTTCTAAAAATAACTTCTGTAGCAAAGAGCAATGCACACCAATTGCAGAAA